AAGTAGTTGTAGATGGGGAGGGGAGGAGGGGGTAAAGGGAGGGCAGGGACAAGGGGGAAAAATGAGAATCAAGACCTGTCATGTAGAGGTACAAGATCCCAATAATGAATGTAACTGTACTGTATACCTAAAATGTACCAATAAACTCAAAGCTGAAAAAAAAAAATGTAGTCCAAACCTGTTAACCTGTATTTAAGTTTAGGATTTGACCCTGCAAAATACCTTTTTGTGGCTATGTGCGTATGGGGGGTACAGTTAGTGCAAGCATCAAGTTTGAGGAGGTCTTCACTCCCTCCTGTGTGGCTTTATCAGTGTCATCCATCTTATGTTTATGTGGCTCCAGTTAGATCTGCACAGGCTGAAGAGGCTGACCAAGGCCGTGTTTCCTTGGCCAGTGTGGAAGGATTCTACACTGACTTTCATGCTTGAAGAACAGTTGTCTCTAAAAATTGGCAGGTAGTTAGTTGCAAAGGGAAGAATGCAGTCTCTACGTTTTTTTCCCTTTTTCCTTTCCAGCGATGTTTCATAATTATAGAAATTAAACTTACTTCTAGAGATCATCCCTGCTCTTGGCTCTGTATGGTGTTGGTGCACTCTGTGTCTCAGATCCACTGCACACAAGAGTTTCAGGCTGGTTATTGCCCAGGTCTCACTCAGTACATCCTGACTGCTGTACTTTGGTCCTCCATTCCGCCATTTGATAAATATCTCAGTGATGTATGGATAGCTGGTTTGTAGTTTGGTTGTTTCTGGTATTGGGGATTGAACCCAGGGCCTTTGTAAATGAGCTAAATCTCTACCGTTTTTGAGACAAGGTCTCACTAAATTGCCCAGAGAGTTTTGTAATTTGGGATCATCCTGCCTCAGCCTCCCAGAGTGCTGGGATTACAGGCATGCTTCACTCCACTTTGCAGTTAGCTAGGTTTTAAAAAACATGCTGTAGCACTTTGAGGTGTAGAATGCAAGTCTGGGATTACCTTGATGTAGAAATAGGTTGTTCACTCATTGTTCACTGTGCCAGGCAAGGAAGTGTCTTAATATACAAGACAGACATGGTTTCAGTCCTCACAGACCTAGCAGTCAATGGACAGAGAGAAGTGGAAGTGGACTGGAGCGCTTTAGGAGACAGTTTCTTGGGTTCGATGGTCCCTTGTCAAAAGCTTTCTATTTGAATCCAGAAATGTGTAAAGAGGGGTCTGTGCCAATTTGTCTTCCACCTTACAGAATCATGGAGGTTGTTAGAAGCTGTGTATTTTATTATTTATAGTCCAGACTGCTTTCTGCAAAAGAGGCCTGTGAAAGTGATAACAACATTTGTGATAGATTTATGTTATTTATAGAGTACTGATCTAAGTACTTTGATCTCCCCATGAGAGAGATAGGTACTGTTGTTATCCCTGTTTTATAGGAGCAAGTGGAAGCCTAGTCAGGTTCAATCATTTACCCAGGGCTGCAGCCAGCAGATGTCAGGGCTGGAGAAGGTTGTCTTTTAGCCTGGGCTCTGCACCCTCCAGAGAGCAGGTGCTGCCATCAGCCTGCTTCTGAGTGCTGCTTTCTAAGCTGAGAGTTTAGGATTGTCCGGAAGTTAAAGTAATTATTACTGTAAGTTCTAAAAGCTTTCATATTCCATGAGTATGGAAAACTATTATGAGTGAATTGGGGGCTTTTATATATACCATTTAAACACCATTGAATTTGCATTCAGACGGCGCAGAGTTACTTAGGGAAAAGAAAGGTTTGAGAAAGAGATAAATATATTAAGATTCCAAGGGGGGCAAGATTTGATATCCCAGTATATCTTCAGTTTAATATAAGAAAGTATCTTTAGAAGTTGTAAATATTTAAAGTAATTTCCAGAGAATCTGCTAGTACTTAAAAGACTTAGAAAGTAATGTACCTTGCTTTCAGTCAGTTTGAAATTTGGGGGTGGGTACCGGGGATCAAAGTCGAGACCTTGCGCTTAAGAGGCAGGCGGTGGAACTACTGGGCTAAATCTCAGGCCATTGAAATTTTTATTGAAAACTCATCTATCATTCTTGCTGAGTTTTTCTGATTCAGTAACAACTTCGTTTGAGAACAGGATAGAAGGGGATGAAGGAGAGTCCTTTACCCTAATCCAAACCTGGGTAAAATCAGAAATTAGAACTTTTCAAGACTCCCACTCAGTGGTGGAGTGGGAGCCATTCTGCTTTCCCAGTTACATTTTGCCTTATCTGTAATGAGAAAACCTCTCTGGAGGACTTGAAATTAACTGTGAGGAAGAGAAGGAAGGGTCCTGTGAGACCTGTGATCAGTGCTCTCCAGACCCACAACTCTGTGTAGTCTAGAGTTCATATGGGACCAACACATTTCCCAGCTCCCTATGAACCAGTAAGAAATTCAGGAACAAATACCGGGCCTTCTGTACTAAATAACAAAGACAGAAAGTCAGGAACAAAAGTGAGGCAGTGAGAGAGACACTGAATGCTCCCTGGCTGTCCTGAGAGCCTGAAGGAGAAAGGCCAGCCCTAGAAGCCCGGTCTTTCTGTTCTGGGAGGAGTCCTGCCGGGCATTTCTGCAGTGATGCAGCATCACAGTAGGAGAGCAAGATAACACCTGTAGTGCTCCACTCTCCAGTGGTATGAGAGTGCAGCTGAGCTCCCAGTGATTCATAGTTGTGTTTGTCGCCTGATGTACAATTTGTAAAGAAAAACAATTTGCCAAACACTTTTGTTTTGCAAACCACATTGTTCAGAAACAAAAGTGTTGGTGAACCGATGTACCACAGTTATTAGCTAGTCTTAAGGCTAGGGTGTTTTCCTTTTCAGCTACTCGGTAGTATAGTTTTGTTCATGGGTTTTGTACTTTGTAGCATGAGTTGTTTTAATGAATGTTACTAGTTTTCTTTCTGTTTATCTGTTTGAAGGCTCTCCCCTGAGCCCCCTTAAGAGAGTAGTATAATTAAATGCACATTCACACACATAGTTTAAGAAAATGGCCTGCTTACTCAGAGAAGGGTTTTTACCCAGGGCCAGAATTGCCATATGGCTTGGATCAGAGGCAGTGTAGTGCAGTAAACTTCAAAGCACAGGCTGGGCCACTCCAAGAAACAACATTTAAACAAGTTTTTCAAATAATGCAGAACCTTTGATTATTATTTTATTGTTATACTGAAATTTTTGAAGATTACTTAAAAATGTTTTGGAAATGCCTGTACAGCTTGAGTATTCCTTATCCAGAATGAGTAGGACTAGAAGCATTTCACACTTTGGAGTTTTTCAGATGTTGGAATACTTACCCATGGACTTTACTCATTCAGTATCCCTGCTGCAGAAATTTGAAATCTGAAATACTCTGGAATTTGAAACTTTTAGAGTACAAATGAAAATAGTTCCAGATTTTGGGTTTTCGGATTAGGAATGCTTGGGCCGGGGATTTAGCTCAGTGGTTCTGGCAACTGCTTCTCAAGCGCAAGGACCCAAGTTCGATCCCCGGTACAAAAACAAAAACAGATTAGGAATGCTGAACTTGTATATGTCAGAATTATGTTGAAATATAAAGCTAAACATAGAATACTCTTGCTCTGTTTATAAATGGAACATATAAGTTACCTGGTGAACACAAAATTATTTTTGGTAGACATGGCTCCTACATCCCATGTTTTTCATTGGCTTCACATAAAAAGTGAGACCCTTTTTGTCCTTGGGCAAAAGTAGGCACGTCCACTGAAACTCCTCATGCAGATTTAAAAGGTAACTGCATAATAGTCAATTTGTTTGAAATAATTTTTATGCATTTTATCAAAGTAAAAATATTAAAGAATATCCATACCCAGAGCACCACAGCAGTAAAGTCTCAAGTTAATATTATGGTAAAGAACACATATTTATAAGAGTAAAAAGCCTTTCTAGTCAAGCATGAATATGTGACATGGATTCTCCCTTCCTGCTTTTCAAGTTTTGGGGCTTTCTGTTCCACAGCTTTCATGAAGTTCCTACTACTTGTGTTTTCATAAAGATGTCATGTTTGTTAAACCTAGCTTCTTTGTTACTCTTAGCTTCCCAGCTGTCTTCTGGGTTTTGGTTTGGCCAGTGAATATTTTGTAGTTCATCAATGCCTTTGGGGAGCAGGGCAGAGCACGCTTTTTAAGGAGATGCTAGACATGTAGAATCTGATGCTACAATTTTTTAAGAAGTATGATTATGAAAAGCTGAGATATACTGGCTCAGCTCTGAAAGATGGAGTAATAGTGAATGCAGACTATCTTCTTGCTAGCTAATAATTAACTATTCCTTTTTGGAGAAGTTAATAATTCTTTCTCTTTGGTACACCACCTTTAAGTGCTGTTGCATAAAAATGATGTTTAAAAAATTCTCAGTATTTGAAAGGACAACTGGAAGGTGAACAGTTTTCCTTTGTGTAGAGTTATAGTATATAGTTGTTGAAAAATACTCTGTGTTTAACATTTTTTTAATCCAAAATAATTAAACTGTTTAATATTTATCTTAACAGTAATTTGGTTTCTTAAATATTCACATTTTTCTTTTACATCAAAGGTTCCGGATTTTTGTTAGGGCACAAATTGAATTTCCTTTGTGAATAAAACAGTTTCATAGCTGTAGCTTATGGTTGTGTTAAATAGATAGCGAAGAATACCATCTTTGAGAAGATAAATGTCATGAAATTTCCAAGTAGACATTTAGTCCTTTGGATTAATAGAAAAGAAGGTCAGTAATTGCTTGGATTTTAATAAGCTTAAAAATAATATTCTTGTAGCACTGTAATAATATTAAAGCATTGAATTACTTTTTGATGCTGCATTGTTTCTTCACTGTTTCATTATGGCAGAGTCACTTTTTATAGCATGTCATTATATATGTGTGTGTATGTTCATAGAGATGTATGGCAGGCTGACCATGCCTGATATTTTTCAGAAGAAAACATGGAACCATGTATACATTTTTGAAAACTACAAGGTATTTTTCTGTCTTTCACCCTGTTTTCCCATTGCTGTTCTTTAGGGTCCTCCGGAGTTTCCACAGCATACACCTGGACCTGTTCCTAACAATTTTAGCCAGCCCCCACGACTTCCTCTCCAGGACCAGTGGAGAGCCCCACCCCCACCGCAGGATCGAGACCCGTTCTTCTTAGGAGGTACACTGGGAAGGGGTGGCAGGCACAGTGAGGGGCAGAAACTGCACTTTTGCTGGTGCACCTGAATAGTTAGTTACTGTGAGAGCGGACTTAGCTCCCCAGGGGTTGTCAGATTTTGTACTATGCATTTCTGCCTGTCATTTCACATGTTCACATTGGACAGTGTTGGTATCCAAAATGTGAAAATGTCTCACAAAGGAGGAAATGTTTATAAAAAAATGACCTGTAAAGCAGTATAGAAATGGGCAAAATCTAAGGTTCTGTCTAAGTAGCCATGCCCTACCCACATTTGTAATTTTTATCCTGGCAAGACAGTTCATAAACCTCTTTTCTAAGAAGTGTGTGGTCTTTCTGATTTGAAGGCATAACTGTACCGCTGTTCAGTTTCAGGTGAACCAAGGTTCCCCAGTCATCTGTTCCTGGAACAGCGCAGCCCTCCTCCACCCCCGCCACCTCCTACGCTTCTGAACAGCAGTCATACCGTTCCTGCACAGAGTCCCTTAACATTCACACAGCCAGGACCAGCATTTAATCAGCAAGGACAGCAGCCAGTATTCCCAAGAGAAAGGCCTGTGCGACCAGCCCTGCAGCCCCCAGGGCCAGTGGGAATCCTGCACTTCAGCCAGCCAGGGTCTGCCACAACCCGGCCTTTCATTCCTCCTAGACAGCCGTTCCTGCCTGGCCCAGGCCAGCCATTCCTGCCCACACATGCACAGCCTAACCTGCAGGTATGCACTTGACCAGCCTCAAGGAAAACTTAGTGCTCCTAGCTATATCCATCCATGTTGAATGAAAGTGAAATTCAGGTTTTCATTCCAGTCTATTGGTTTGTAATTAAAGAATGTAGGAATTAGTTTTAAATCCACAGTTTTCTGGATGATACTGCTTATTTCTCAAATACTAGGAGAGATGGAAGAAGTGATTGTTATTTTTGGGGAGTTGAAAAATATCACTCTTTGTTCCAGTGCTAGACAGTAAGAAGGTCTTTTGCAGGAAAGAATAGTTGTGGTTCACTCAGTATGTGCCAGACTCGAGTGCCCTCTGCTGGCGGGTGTATTTCTTGGGTGGACTCTGGTCTTTGTAACATCTTTTTTGTCTGGTTTATTCCTTGTATTTCAGGTTTACCATTCATGTATATAACAGTGGTTTACTTGACGCAACTTAGAAGCACATAGAATATGTACCTAAGTGAAACAGGGAAATGATTACTATTTAGGGCGTTAGTGAAGGATTAAATGTGTTTTAAGTTTTTTCTTTTTATAAAAATTTTATTCCCATTGTAGAAATATTAGAGTTTAGTTAAGTTTAAGAAAAGGAGGGATGAGGATGTAGCTCAGTGGTGCCTGCCTGGCAAGCACATGGTCTTGAGTTCTGTCCCTGTTACCACCCAAAAAAAGAAAAGGAAATTAAATAATTTCATTACCTAGAAACAGTTATGATGAACACTTTTCATGTGTGGTTTTTAGTCTTTGAAGGAATGAGTTTTCATCACTGTACTTTTTTTCCCCAGTCACTGTCATTGTGACCTTCTCACATCAGTGATTTGTTTTTCTCTACATAATCTAAGCATACTGTGCAAGGTCACTGATTTGGATATGTATGTTAGTTTCAGTGTTTTGGTATTGTTGTGCGGTAGGAATCATATTTGAGGTTCTCTGTTGGTTCACATTAGAGTTATTTCTTCTAGATAAATTCCTGGAATCCTGGGTAGAAAGGACTTGGGCACTAGCTGTTTGTGTATTACTGCATTTAAGATAATATCACTTTCATCAGCAAATTTAAAGTTAAGCCTTACACCACCTATTGTTTCTTTCTGGGGTGGAGGTTTTAAAGAAGCATTTGATTCAGAATATACTTGGTATATGTGCCTATAAACTGTTGTTTCTCTTTCTTGGATGGCAGGGGCCCTTGCACCCTCCTCTGCCCCCTCCTCATCAGCCACAGCCCCAGCCCCAGCAGCAGCAGCCACCGCCGCAGCCCCATCAGCACCAGCCGCAGCACCA